ATCTTAAAATTAATCCTAATTGTTTACTTGCCACAGCACTGACATTTACAGTAACGTTCACGGAATGAACCAACAAACACCATAATCTTCATAAAACCATCATACAATCTAACCACAATCTCCTCAAAAACAAAAATGTCCCAAACTGAACCTTAAACACAAACAGGTCTTTCCTTTTACTTAAAAATTCATAAAATAACACGTAATTTTATAATTTTCTACCCAATTCAGTCCTATGTAAAGCATGCTGTGAACTAAAAATCTATCCATGCAGTTTCATTCAATGCAATAACGATTCAACAACAAAGTGGATTAAGTGAACTTTAATTTGACATATTTAAGTGGGCTGTACAAAATTAAATTAAGTTGTGATCAAATGTTCAGCAATTGTGTTGCTTTAGCTGATTTCAAGTAAATTGGACAAGCAGCAAAAATCTTTTTTCCCATGTATATAGGTAGTAGGCAGCAAACTCGATTTTGGAACAGAGCTAATGTGATTACCTATCTCTCTTCCACTTTTCTTCTCTTGTTCAGATGGGGAACAGTAAGGTTTTCTTGAGATACTGGCAGGCTGATCACCTTAATGACCGCTGCCATCAACTGCACAGGAAGATTATTGTCTGTCAGAAAGGTAAAGTGATGTGTGGTCATACTGTATGATCTGTCACCAAGCTCATATTTTTACTTAATCGTGTGTGTGATTCAGTGGTGCGTGGCTGGTTGGCCAGGCAATGTGCGCGTCGCAGGCTCACGTCTCGGCAGAAGGAGCAGTGTAACATCCAACGGTTCCTGCAGGGAGCAGAGGATTTGGGTATGCGTGCTTACGACAGCCTGGTCATCCAAAACGCAGCAGATATTGCACGAGAGAACGACCGCCTCCGGGGTCTCATCAGTGCTCCACCACTGGGCGAGAGACCAGAACCTGTGGGCAAAGAAGAAGACTCACCCAAGAGGTGAAACTTATAGCAGAGAATGTGTTACTTTTTAACTAACCATGAATTGTTAGTAATCTCTTTTTACAATACACACATCTCAATATAAAACTATTCTCAATTATTAAAATCTGCTATTTCTAGGGTAACAAGGTTCTCTGCTTCTCAGAAGTTGAGTGTGCTCCTGTCTCTATTGTTTAATTAGTTCTTAAAATAAAATACATATCTAGGAAATAATAATATTCATATTGGTGTCCCTTAGAGGATCTCTAATAAGAAATCTTGTTTTGTCTGCTAAAATTCAATCAGATGTGGCTTCTCAAATGCATCTGTGCTACTATAAGACTTCCTTTTAAAGGATTATATTAGACACTCTAACAGTCTAAATTATACTGGAGTGTCTGATTATATCCAAAAC